CTTCAAGTAGCACATGGAAAAAGCCTAGAAACCAGCTTTATGCAAACCCCATAACACAGCGGACAAGCAAGCTCTCAGCACAGCAGCTTTCTCAGTCATCCTGAGCACAGAAAACAGGAGCTGGTGTGATGGCACCATAAGCATATTCCACCCATGATGTACGGAGCAGCCAGAAATGTGAACCATGCAAAGGCCCAGGGCTGCTGCCAGGTTGCTGCTGGCACCCCTTGCTTTGGCTCCTCTCCAGCACGCTCCCGACGAGCGTGGGCTCGCTCTAGCGCTGCCAGATGGATTTGCAGAGTGCTACGCATTTACGAGGCAGAGCATGGTTTTTCAGACCTGAAAGAAAGCAACCCAGCAGATGTTCAATGCGTCCAAGGTGTCTGTGGGTGTGATGCGCAGTGTCTTTCCAGTCTCTGTTCCTCAGAGTCTGGAGGAAGACAAGCTAGCTATTACATGAAATCCAGTGTCTTGGGTGTCTAGATATACTGTAAGAGGCAAGGACCGAGGAACAGCTGCCATAAGTAGGATGAATAAAACAAATCCTCTTACACGTTTAAGATTTATTTGAAGGCAACAAACTGTTCATGCCCAAGCCTGCATTACTTCAACAAGAAACAGGGCAGGTCCAGGTTTCCAGCCTCACTTTTATTTAAGACAAACCACAAGCCAGCACCTAGAGGCAGGGTTTCTTACCGTGCTCGTGCAGCTTCTGACAGCGTTAGACCCCTTCTGCAACTCAGGAGGAAGCATTTCTTTCCTGATGCACATTCCAATGCTCAGTTCAGTTAATGGATTGGGATAACATAAATGTCTGCACCCAGCAGAAGCCCTAAACCAGCCTCTAATGATGCACCAGATATTCAGAAGCTCAACACCTGAAGGATATTAAATGACTAAAAGTTCCACGCACACAGCTGTGATACCTTCCGGGCTTGAAAGGACTTGAAATTCATAGTCACTTTCTTTGTGTGAATAGCAAAGTGAACTTTGCTTTCAATTTCGGCATTTAATACATGGCAAATACCAGATTCTCTGTGGCTTGGGAGGAGCACATTTGCATGTTCATTAAGTTAAATCACATTCCACACAAAAAAGTACCAAGATAATATTGTTTCCAACATTTACACCCAACATTTACCAAGCTATCTCTATGAGAATTAGATTAAACAATTCTGGGCCAAAATCCAGTTATGACTAATTTTTTCTGGGGCTGCCAGCTTGGCAAGGACCTTGGTAATAACCCAGTGCATGTTTCTGAAAGCTGTGACTGGGGAATCCAGAGGTCTAATCATGTCTCTAGAGAATCATAGAATCATAGAATGTTTTGGGTTGGAAGGGACCCCTAGAGGTCATCTAGTCCAACCCCCCAGCAGAAGCAGGGACACTGCTAACTAGATCAGGTTGCTCAGGTACTTTCTCACATCCTTATTCAATGTAATAAAAAGAAATGAGCAATTCAGCTGCAGTAACTCTGCAGAAATCTAATGCTGGTTATCGTTGGGGTCCATACAAGCGCTGGGGGTACTCACAACCCCAAGTTATTCTAGCAAGGTCGTTGGTGTTAGTAACTGCTTTTTGAAAGATATTTGTGTCCCGGAGAGCGCATCTTGAAAACAGATGTTTGGAAATGTTTCCGTGGTCATAGGATTTTGTTGCCGAAACTGATGCAAGTGTGTCACCTGTACAAGCTCTCCTGCTTGTAGACTTGAATGCTTCTGCATTGCAGTAGCCCAGTGAGAAGGCAGGAGCCACCCTGTCCCAGGAGAGAAGAGAAATAGGAAGTCCGTGCTGAGCAGTTTCCCTTCCTTCTTTCTTTCTGCTCTTAGGAAAGAGCTGCCCTCTTGCTCTGGCTCTGTATTGCAATGCCACTAGAAAAAGTGAAGGATTGGAAGAATTCTCCGCCGTTTCCCCAAGGCTTTCCCTGTGTGCTTGGCTACCTTCTCCTGTGCCTGGCAGAGGCTTCTTCCTACACACTTGCCACTGCTCTTTGCATTTAGGTGACCGCAAACTTCAGGCTGCTTTGACAGCTTGGATGATGTTTCCTTATCAGCATCCAGTGACAAGACAACAAAGAACGTAAGGACATTTCTGCAGGTGTCAGAGGTGCCCAGCTGGAAAACTTCCCAAAAACGGGGCACTGGCATGCCCAGTGCTGCAGACATCCCAGTGCCTCCCTGAAGACCCACTCCTGGATGCAACCAGACACAGCAGGGTCCTCTCATTGCCTGCAGCCATTCAACACAGCTTTACTGACTTCTGGGCTCCAGAGTCCCACCACCAGTGGCTCTGGGAGTGAAAAGCAACAAGTGCTCTTCAGCACTGTCTCCTCTGGCTGCTCCCCTCTGCCAGGGCACAAGTGCCACCCGGCAATGTCACCACCACACGGCACAGGCACCACGGTGACCTTTGAGAACATCCCATCAGAACCCACAGTTGTGTTCAACCTGGGCTGGATTAACTCTGGGTTGCAGTAGGTTTGTGGTTCCCTTGGGCTAAATTGAGGTGAAACGACACCAAACGATTGCTTAAACATTTTTTTATCTGTGGCAGAAACAACCTGATCTGTGAAAAGCACAAAGGTGAATGGCGCGGGTCCTACTGAAACGTTTACGAGAGGAAAAGGAAAGAGAGGAAAACGGAAAAAAGAGGGAGAGATGACAGATCGCCACCCCCCGGCTCCCACGATGACGTTGATGAAGGTGGTAACTGCGGCGATGAGCGCGTGCCCAGCTCCCTCGTGTCGCGCCTTTTACAGTCCCCTTCCCGCCACGCGATCGTGCCAGTCACGCCCCGCTCATTCCTGCCGCTCCGGCACTTGGATAACTCGCGGCCTCCTGCACAGGCGCCACTGTGGGTGGGGGTCGCTGGAGGACTCAGGGGTGAGGGGGCAGCCACAAACCCCTTCCCTCAGCTGCACCCCGCGTCACTTCCGGCTATAGCGGGCGGCTTCTCCTGCCAGGCCTGGTGCTGGCCCCTCTGTGCCGCCATGTCTGAGGCGCTCACCCTTTTGGTGCCTCCCGCCGCCGCGTGCCTCAGCTGTTGCCTCACCTAAATCGTCACCCGGGGGGGATTCCCACGTAAGGGGTAGAGAGGCCGAGGCCCGCGGGATCATACACTTTCCAGTGCCACGGCCAACCCCTGGAAACATGAACCCAGGCCCCAACACCATAACAGGATTTAAAAGCCATTTGTCCCACCCTGTTACGTCCCAGCGAGCGCAGCGGGCAGGAGATCCACCAGGTCGGGGAGAATCCATCAAACTAACCCTTTGGTTGCGTCGATTGGAATAAGTCCCACAGTTTTATTGGCAACCTCCTTCATTTTGGCTCGGGCTTCTTGGATTGAAGGGGTCACGTTATGGGTGGCAATACAGCGTTCTCTGTCGGTAAGATTCAGAGTTCTGCACGCTCCCTGTTCTTTCAACAAAATCGTGCCCAACGCTACTCTGTTATGCAGCGTCATTTTTGATACCCGTCACACCTGCAAATTTAGTTCTCCAGATGCATTCCTTGTCCAGCTGCTCAATACCTGTACCTGCCAGGTGAGGTTTTCTAAAACAAATCCTTGTCTTTTAAGGGTCACATATGGGATAAATATTTTCTAACATCAGAGACATTGTCATGCCCCAGGTGTGATAGTCAGATACCTGGACTCCCTGCACTGCCCATTCGGGTCACGCTTCAGGGGGAATCCACATCCCGCTTGTGTCAGGGAGTTCTTGACGCAGAATAGTTAAAAAGTCGTTGAGGGCACAAGGAGGGAATTCCGATCCCACATTTCAACCCCATGTGCCCTTCCAGGGTCAGATAGGGATAATATTTTCCATTGGAACACCCCCAAGCCAACCCTACTGGGGCCAGACAAATACTTGTTTTACAGTTACAGGTATCCTCAAGATTCGTAACGGACGATAGGACGAGGGGGAATGGTTTGAAGTTGCGCCAGGGCAGGTTTAGGCTAGACATTAGGAAAAACTTCTTCACTGAAAGGGTTGTCAGGCTCTGGAATGGGCTGCCCAGGGAGGTGGTTGAGTCCCCATCCCTGGAGGTATTTAAAAGAAGGATAGATGAGGTGCTTAGGGACAGGGTTTAGTGGTGGGATGGCAGGGTTAGATTAAAGGTTGGACTCGATGATCTTAAAGGTCTTTTCCAACCAAAGTGATTCTATGATTCTATGGTAGGGTAGTCCCGACAGGTACATGTATCTCTGACCAGGGTCTGACTCCCCATAATTACCAAGTGCCAAGTGGGTCTCCTAGGCCCTCCTCACAGGTGCAGTTTAAAAGGGGACTATCAGCACTCACTGAAGGGGAGTTGAGATTTATCTCCCAAAATCCCATCAGCTGGTAATTTGACCATATCCACATAAAATTAGTTCTGTTTCGCTTCAACACAGAAGCTGAGGTGGCGTTTGGGAGACTCACACACCATACAGTGTCCCATTTTATCATGTACTGTCCCTCATGATAGCCTGGCCTCTTAAGAAAATCAAAGGTGGGATCCCAAGGAAAGTCTCCACAGGTATCACTGTCCTGTGTTTCATTCCTTTTTACTACCCATTGTCCTCCAAGCGTTAGGCCCACTCTTGGTGCAGATTAATCACATACAGAAGAAAAGGAAAGAGAGGGAAAAGGAAAAAAGAGAGCAAGAAATCACTACCCTTGGCTCCCGCGATCATGTTGACAAACATGACAACCCCCTGGTGATGGGCGGGTGCTCAGCTCCCTGCAGTCCTGCCTTTTATAGTCCAGTTCCCACCTCTCAATCGTGCCCCACTGGTTCCTGCCCCTCCAGGTATTTGGCTTTTGAAAACAGTTCCTATGCTTTTGGAAACCCTATACTGCTCAGCTCCCAGACGGCAAAAACCCAGCCCGGGGTGGCGATGACTGAACAGAACCACCACGTAACATTTTCACCTGAGCTTTAGGTTTCAAATGCCCCTGAGAGTCCTTTTCAACATCCGCACTCGTCTTTTGCAAATCAGGGTCTTAGTTCTCATCACTTGCGGTTTTCCAGTCTTGGGATGGTGGCAACTAACTCTTCTCCTTTTTTTAGGTACTCTACTACTATAACCCCAGCTTTAACAGAGAGCATCCCCACCTGCTGGAAAAGTGCAAGAGGAGAGTTGGTGTCAAGCGGAGAGCCCCAGATGCAGCAGAGATGGGCAAAAGGCAGCCCTCCAGAAGCCCAGATGGTCAGCCTGCGGGGGACAGCCAGGCATCTCCACCCGTGATGACCCCACCCACCAAGCAACGGGCTGAAGC